TCAAGGGCACGGGCTGGCCCTGGGGACAGAGCCAGCGGATGGAGCTGCTGCGAGATGCCCGTGGTGCGGCTCGGCATAGCACGGCACGGCACGGCGTGGCTTGGCACAGCGTGGCACAACAGGCACGACCTTCTCCTTCCCTTATGGGGTGGTAGCACCAGAGAGGAAAAGAAAAGGGAAAACTCCCGACCATGGAGGCTTTGCAGCATCTCCCATTGGATGCTGCTGCTTCCTTGGGCGCGATGCTGAGCTGGGTGCAGGGGCTGGACATGCCCGTTGAGGGGTCCAGGGGTACCATTACGAGGGGCCATGTGGAGACGAGTGGGGCCGGGGCCCCTCTGCAGCTGCCTCACAGGTTTATTTGGTAAAAATAACCCAAATGGGTCCGGTGGGGCAGCGGGGGGGGGGCCCCCGTGTCACCATCTGTACAGGAGCCTGCTGTGTCTGTCCCTAAGAGCCAAGGGCAGGGATGATGGTGGCCACCAGAGACGACTGTGTGTGCCCCTTCCTACTGCCTCTCCTGTGAGCAGCGTCCCAATTCCCTTTCCTTCCTTAAGCTGAAATGAAACTTCATTGCAAATAATGCTCTCTGCCCTTCTTTAATGCAAAAAAGCCCACTCAGAGATAAAATGAAATTCCTTTAAAAACATATATATAAATCACAGTTTCTCATATTGAGAGGGGACTTTCACCAAGATAATTATTGCAATTACTCCCTTTCTCTCTCCCAGTGAGTATTATTTTTATTCTGTGCCTTTATCCTCATTTTACCTGTTGAGGGGAGCAGCCTGGCCCTGCCTGTGCTCGCAGCCCTTCACCACAGGGCCATCACTCCCTGTCCAGCTGCACTGGGACCATTGGGGAACCTTTGTGGGACCCCAGCCCCCTCTAACCTTCTGCTTCTCCCCTTTGCTTCCCTGCAGCTGCGTCCCCCCCGAACACAGTGGACAGGTCCTGCCTGAAGCTGAAGGTTTATGTTCGGCCAACAAGTAAGTGACTAGGGGGGCCCTGGGGAGCCCATGGGGCAAGGGGCTGGTGGTCCTGAGTGAGTGGGGACTGTGGAGGGGGACGGGACGCTGTGGATCCCACCTGGGTAGAACCCGATCGGGCCGGGGACGATGCCACAGTCCTGCCAGAGCCGTGCTGGGGTGTCTGTGCCGTGGTAGGCGCTGTGCCTGGTGATGGACATTTGCTGCTGAGTTCCATGTGGGGGGGGGGAATGAATAATAATCTCTGCACAGTGGCTACTTTTCAGAATCAAATAACTCAGCCATTTAAAAAAACAAATTAATAATTTTCTTCTCCTGTTAACGTGTAATTAGCAAATGGCAGCAGCTCTCCCTGGGGACGAGTGCCTGCGAAATGTCACCGTTTAAAAGGATGTCTTTCTTTTTTTTTTATTTGCATGGCTTTAAAATAAAACCCAGTATAATGAAACCATCTGTAAAAAATCATTCTGTTTTGTTCAGGACTAGGGCATAGTGGGAGGGGGGTAAAATCTCTCCTGGTAGTATTTTTCAGTATCTTAATAGTATTGGGGTTTTATTCCTTCATGGAGAGGGAGCCTTCGTGCTGCTCGGGGAAAGGGGCTTTGCCCCTGGGGTCCCCCCTCGACTGGGTGCTTGAGACATTCTCAGTTTCCAGTGCACGTGGCAGTGATGCCTTTGGGAGAGCTGGGATTTGGTGGGGCATCAACCCCCAGCTCCTTGCTGTAGCGGGAAGCTGCTGCATCAGCGGCATCCAGCCCCCAGCCCCCAGAGTGTTGAGGTGGGATCTGCCTCCGGCTCACGTCTCCCTCCCTTCCTCTCCTTCCGCAGACGATTCCCTGTACGAGTCCCCGGAGCCCATTTTCACCAGCAACAACTCCTGCTGCAGCCTCAGGGTGCCGCGCGCCGTGCTCGTGGTGGTGCCGGTCGTCTGGACGCTCCTGGCCTCGTAGCGCTGACACCGACGCGCTGGGGAGCAGCTCCGTGGAGTGTCACCTC